ATTTGTTTGTTTTTGAGCGCTGGATATATTCAGTGCAGCAATAATGATATATGCAAGAACATACATGTGTACTGTCGTGCGTTTTTATTTATTTATTTATTTATAAACCCTGGAAACACATTCAGTAAATTATTCGTATTCACGATATCTTCTTTTTTACATACAGTTTGAATGCCTGCGGATCGGAAAAAATTGGCGTATCGGTGGCCAGCTGAACGAGTAGGTTTGAAAGCACTGAATAAAATGAAATTTAGCATGGTGATAAGCAACAACAGCAAATGATAACAACACGAACGGTCAAAAATTAAGACCCTAATCCGGCATGTGACACGGTGGAAATCGGAACTATCTGTTGACGTTGCTTGAAAGTCATGAGCTCAGTTCTTGTGAGCGCTTCGCTATCCAGTGGCATAAGCAGGCATGTGTATGTACATAACACCTGTACTCATGACTGACCCTTCTTTGTAATAGTGACCGCCTGGTCTCGATGCCTTGTAAGATTTGTCACCACAAACCTGAACCTAAATACCTCTTTTAGCTCACCGTTCCATCCGAGTATAGGCCTTCTGGTTGCGGGTTTGCAACATCCCTTGGATAAAAATCTAAAACCACTGAAAATCATACCATCTGTCAGCCCTTTTGTCATTTCCCTTCTTTCGAAACTCATACTCTCGTGCATTATCATGCGTCTTCTTATTCGTCAATTTCGCAGCTAGTCCGTTATGGAAAAAGTCCCTTAAAAAATTCCTGATATCCTTCTTCTCATAGTCCTGATATAATTTTCATAGTTGTAGTCTTATCAGTTCCTCATTCTTCATCATTAATTCGTAGGTCTTGCGCAGTATCGTGCTTTTGTACAACGTGATTCTAACCGCAGTTGATAATTTTCTTTTTTCAAGAATAGCACAGTTTCTTCTGTACGTACTTCACGCCGTCTGACTTTCTAGGGAGTTCTAAATCAATGGAGTGGTCCGAGACGATTAGCACTCCCAATTAAATATATTCAGCGACTTCTGTTTGGTAAATGTTGATTGTCACTGTAGCTTGCAGTGCGAATTCGTTTTTGCTCTGTTTATGCAGGTGGTGAAACTTCATCAACTGTAGCTCACTAGACGTGGCTCCAACAACCTTTGCTCCTCCCAACAACACAGAGGCGTACGCAAACCGAAGATAGAAACGAATAAATTATATAAGCGAAGTAGAGGCCACCAACACCTACTACAACGGATCTTATGAGAACAGAAGGAACTTCTACGTTTTCATGAATATGTCTGGACGTGATTGTCATGATTCGATCATCTGCAGGAGGGTCACCTCATTGGCAGCTAGAATTTGACAGCAGGACAAAAATAACGATTTGGGTTTAAAACGATATGGTCAGCGCGTCATATGGCTTTAAAAGCTAAACAGAGACTTGTACTCGGTGAGGAATTTCTAGCTCCTCGACACAGTAAACTTATTAATACGAAAAATCGATCAGAACTGAGCGTACCTCTCAAATTATATGCACAATGCAATTCTCTAAAACGGCTAAAGATTACACCAGAAATATAAAGATAATTTTACTTGCGCACAGGTGTGATGTAAAGATGTATCTGTTTGACACGTGCGACTAAGGAAAACTGACTCATTTCACTCCTCCCTCAACCATCTTGTAAATATCTAACAAATTAGGACCAGGATTCAATGTTTATCATACGTCAGGAGACAACTTACCGAATTAAAATTTTAAATTTACGTTTACACATTATGCTCAAAGATGGTAAGTCAGCTGTCTATCTGGTGGGTCAAGGTGAACTGCGGCTGTATAGTCGTATGTCTCGCACGCTTTGGCATGTCACACCCAAACACCATGCTGTCCTTATTATTCGCAAGTGACCGA